ATTAGCTACTGGAGTTTGGAAAGGTTGATATTGAGGAATGGAAGGTGGTGTGGATGGTGGAATGAACTTAGGGGAATGTTGACTTTTTATGGAGTCATTGCGCTGTTGGAGATACATAATGTTTAATTCCTCCTGTACATATTCCAAGGCTCTCTCTATTGTCGATGGTCGCATGAAACGTATACGAGATCCTAAAGGTTCCTTTAAGCCGCGGACATATGCTTGCATTGCGACTTTCCTATAAAGGTCCCGTTTGGCATTTATGGTGGTCGGTATGGTCTCATGTAAAGACACGTAAGTCATTATCGTGCTAAACAAAGTTTGGCAATGGTCGTAAAATTCTTGTGGAGTTCTGTTGCCTTGCGAAGCTAAGGAGAGGTCATTATATAAAGCCGTTTCGTCCCGCTGGTCGGAAAAATTATTTATTAGTGCTGTGCTAATACCTAACCAGTTTTCAGGAATGCCATTAGAGTTTATAGTGCAGGCAGCGGTTTCTGTTATTTTGTTAAGAATACCGTTCAAAAGACATAAATTATAAAATTCACTGCATTGCTTAGATACTGCGAAGCTAGTCTGTCACATATTTATAAATCTAGTTAAAACGTTAGGGTTCCCATCAAACTCCGGGACGAGGCGTAAAGCCTTAAAAATTGTGTCGGGGTCATGGGCCATCTCTGTTAAATAAGTATTATTCAATTCTAATTCTAAATCTAAATTGGTTTGCCTACTATTAACTAATATATGACGACGAGCCTGTCGAGATTCAGGCTCCCGAGAACGAGTTACTCTAGGATGATAAATCTTGAAGGGAAAGATTTAAACTTAGGGATATGGGAGAGCAACACGAGATCAATTCAAGTGTACTCACGTGGATTTCATCTGGTTTCTCTTGATGAATCGAAGGCTGGATTCTCCTCCTGGTCTGCAGCTGGTCCGTAGATCCGGATACTCTTCGAAGGGACTTGATAGCCGCCAGGGTGCTTCACGGTTAAGAAAAGATATTCCTTAACTATCGCAAAACTACCCCTGAGTATCCTACCGACTGCGCCAATTACGTTAGCTGCGGCCGGAGGTTCGAAAAAAACAAATTTACTTATAAAATTTATTTAAAATGAAAATTACAAATTATGTTACTATATCTAATTAAGCTAACCGAATGAGCCTAGTGTAACTGAGTACGTGATATTTTATACATCCGGCACGTGGCTTGAATTGCTGCGCCTGCATTCCTGTCGGTTTACATAGCAACTGTTCTAGGTACATAGTCAGCGATCGTCATATCATAGGTATATGTAACTCGCTTGTTGTCAACATTTGTTGCCTCGGTGGAGACGCTTGTTGACAGAAACATTTGTTGGCAACACGTGTCGACAACTGTTGTGTTGGCAACAAAACTTTGGTGGAGACGCGGCTAAAGATTGCTCTGTTTATAATATTTGTGATAATTATAAATTACGATAGCAAAATAAATGAGAGAATAAATCCAAAACCTGCACATAGATATAAAAAAATAGAAAGGGTTTTTAGTTTGTAAATAGGCACAAATATTTTATTATATACAATATTACAAACTATAATAATAAAAGAAAAACTAAAACTAGAAACTTAAATTATTATATAGTCCTACTCCTCGCGGTATCGTGCCAAGAACGCTGGCTGCGTTTCCCCGTAGAATGGCTATACTTAGCCTTAAAAAATAAATTTGTAAATTAAAATTTTTGAAAATAGTAATAATATTAATATATTTATTTGTTGATCGTAATTCATAAGATGTCATAAAAATTTTAAAAATTGTTTTATGTGTCCTATATAATCTATCATTTAAGGGCATAAAAATATCTAAGTAGAATAAATTGTTCGAATAATTGCATAGATTATATCACCCACAGATTGCCTCATAGGGATAGTTGCCACGGTTGTTAGGTGGGTTGGCAAACGCAGTTTTTTATTTTTAGTCGTTATTAGTAAGATACTGCTGCTCTTTTTTGCCTCTTAAGACACGTGGGATATGTGGTAATGGATGTTCTTACACCGCCACTACACGGTAGAAAAACATATATTGGGGCTAATTAGTATGGAATAGAAGTCAACATTTTTCGAAATATATTTAAGAATTTTTATCTGTCTGGACATCAATTAAAATAATATTATCGACAAAAAGTAATATATCTGTTATTTAGTTTACACAACAACATAATGAAAACAGTTACGGTAATACAAAATTTACAAAGAAACAACTGTTAATTTTGCATCCCAACTCATGCTGTAATAAATTAAAATGTTTAGAGTATTTAAATTGTAGTGATTACAACCATAAAAGTTTATTCATTTACTAATAATGATTGGAGGTAACGAAAATTCATACAACGAGTTTGATTTTCCTCAACAAATTTATTAGCTCTTCCGCTTACACTTTACTTACTTACTTACTTATCTTCACGCACAATCCCTGACGGGGTAGCCAGAGGGAACAGATCGTCAAGTGTCACGATCCTTACTCTTTCGCTTCTTTCAGATTCATTATCTTCTTCATACATGCACGTCTAGGTATCCGAGTACTCTTGACCCTACCCTCTTCGAGCAATTATTATCTTACACTTTATTATCGAACAATCCAACAGTATAATTATTGATCAAATTCGGCGTAACGTCCTACTTAACTTTCCTTCACTGTTGAAATGCCGACGAGCGAATGACTCCCCCGGTATCGTTTTACAAGTCATGTCTTTACCTTTCCGCATAGCCGGAAACGGTAAAATACACGGACCGGATGTAGTCTTACAATGTTTTTCTTATTTTACGAAAGTTGTATTAAATTTCACAAAAATTATATTAGCTTAATTATACATGGATTTTCATTAATTATATTTATAGTGATTCGAAGTTTTGAATAAAATCAATAGCTTGAGATTAATTAAACACCGGAAATGGCAATTTATATTATTTAGAATAAGATAATCCCCAACAGCTCGGCCATCCTGTATAGCGCGAGACCCTTCGCGGTGTAATCTCGAACTACACACCAAGATTTTTTTTCACAATCTTAAATCTAAATTGAAGTACATAGTACATTTTTATTTACGGGAAACTTAATTACAATTCAGATTTATTCATAAAAGCTTACTATACTAATATAAAGTTTACTATATTTATATAACTAATATAGATATGTATTAGGTTTATTAAAAAAAATTTAATAATTATACCTTATAATTATACATAATTTGAATAACTGAACATAATCACAAGCATTTAAAGTAAATAGAAAACAATTGTGACTTAATTACTTATATTATTAGTACAAACTCATATTTCGTGGGTTCCTTTACATTTGTAGTATTATTCTGGTTCATTATTATACTTCATTAGCAAGTCCATTGTCACCAGTATCATCATCAGCATCACTTGTACTATTTGAACTATTATCAAAGTCCCTATCAAAGCTCATCCATGGTTGAATTTTGTCCAAAGCCACTGTTCCTTCGTACCTACGACCATTTATACGTGACAACGGCGTGTCTTCAACTATAAACCTATCATGAGGGAGCACTTTAATGATACGATACGGGCCCTGGTATTTAATTACTAATTTTTGCGATTTACCATCATGCGGGACTGTCTTTCTATCCGAACTAAGTCTCCTACCTTGTACTTTCTACCTGCTTTTCTATGCCTGTTATATCGATCAATATCTTTTCGCTGTTGCGCCTGAATACGTTTCTTAGCCTCCTTCCTGACAGATTCTAATTCATCAGACGATATTACATTTAATGTATCATTGATTATTGTATTCCCTGACTTCTGTTATTTATATTAAAGCCAAATAAGAGTTCTGATGGTGATTTATGAGTAGTTTTGTGGACCGTAGTGTTAAGACCAATTTTTATGTCTCGAATGTGTTCGTCCTTCCCATGATTTGATGTAGCTAGTGCCTCTGTAATGGTTCTGTTGAACCGTTTTACCTGACCATTGGCTCGTGGAGTTGCAACTGCGTTCATGACATGCTTTATTCCATACTCGGCAATAAAATCTTTAAATGATTTACTTGTAAAACTGGACCCTCTAACTGTAATAAGACGCGTTGGTACTCCAAAGAAACTAATGTGGTCTTTTAGAACTTTAATAGTTGTCAGTGATTTAGTGTTTTTAACGGGTGTATTATTAATAAATTTTGTAAAACTGTCTATTATAACTAATATATAACACAATTTCCTACTTTACTTTTTATAAAAGGACCCAGGTGATCAGCGTGAATAGTATGAAATGGTATGCTATATTTTTCTATTGGGTGCAACTCACCTTCTCGTCTCCCACCTAGTACCTTATGGTGAGCACATTCTAAGCAGGCTGAAACATACTTCTTTATGAACCGCCTCATGCGTGCAAACCAGTAGTGCTTTTTAATGCGTGCTAACGTTTTTTCATAACCGTAATGGCAAACATCGTCATGATTCCTCTTAACAAATCTGCCACCGAGCTCCACTTGGCACAACCCATTTTAATTCATCACCTATAATGCGGTATACGCGTCCATTTTTCTGCCGACTTCCAAAAAGGAGCTGGTACTCAATTCGACTGTATGTTTTTTTTTTTTATGTGTGTTACCTCAGAACTTTTTTCTGGGTGAACCGATTTCGATGATTCTTTTTTTATTTGAAAGCTGGTACTTCTCGTGTGGTCCCATATGAATTTGATCAAGGTCAGACCAATAGTTTTTAAGTTATTCTTAAATAACTTATATTGAAGTCGGCTGTACAAAATTTTTAATTTTAAATTATTAAGTTTAAAGTTTTTGCGGATGTCAAGTACATCAGTATTCGGATCATTGTGTATGTTTTTTTATTCTGATAATTTCCTGATCTGCTGATTGCACGGTAGCGATCCAATTTTGTTCAGGTTCAACCGACAGTACATCGAGAAAGTGTGACTCATTGACATTCGTATTTACTGGGTTGCGACTAAGGGCGTCCACGTGAGACATCTTTATTCCTGGTCTATATTCAATTGTGCAATCGTACTCTTGCAATTGGATTCACCACCGAGCAATCCGTGGCACTAAATCTCTCTTGGTTAAGAGTCGACCTTAGTGCGTTACAGTCGGTTTGTACAGTAAATTGGATTTCAATGAGGTAAACTCTAAATCTCTGTAGGGATGCAATAACAGCAAGGGTTTCTAGCTCAAAGGAATGGTATTTTTGTTCTTCCGCGGTGGTTTTACGACTGAAGTACGTTACCGGTTGTAAAACTCCATTTTGATTGCGTTGAAGTAGGGTACCAGCCAAGCCATTTTTGCTGGCATTGGTATGAAGATGAGTCTCGGCACGAGGGTCGTATAGAGAGCAAGTAACGGACGCTCGGACAATAAGTTTCTGATGCGGGTAAATGAGTTTTCTTGCGGTTCGCGCCATATCCATTCGTTATTCTTTTTTAGTAAGTCAGTGGGGCTGCTATTAATGCATAATTTTTAATAAATCTCCTGAAAAACCCCGAGAGGCCTAAAAACTGGCGCAATTCGTCTTGATTTCTTGGCTTGAGAAATTTTGATACTGCTTCGCATTTTCTCACCATGTGCACTCACCTCAAAACCAAGGAAATCAATATTTTCGAAAAAGAAGTAACATTTACTTAGTTTTAATGTGAGGCCACCTTTCCTCAATAAGCCCAGTACTTTTTTTGTCTTGTTAAACCTTCGTCAAACTCTTTACATGGTATTAAAATATCGTCCATATATATTAAAGCGTATTTAATTTTGGCCTCGGATAAAATTTTATTCATAGTCCTCTGAAAGTACACGATTGGTTCAGAGTCTTCGAGCTCAATAACCATTTCGGTTGCATTAGTGAGTCCTAAGTCCTTCAGACTACTCGAGAAACAGTCTTGAAATTCGGTCAATGTATTTTGAAGTAACAGTCGTTGCTCGGTCGTCAAATTAGGATTACAGATTACGGAGTCATCTATTTCAGTTTTACTTATAGTAATTTCGCAAATGTCTGCAGATAGATGTATTTGGGTAGCCCTTGTCAAGAGTAAATTCTTTTCTACGATGTTATACATCAGCAACGCACATTTATTATTTCTTACGGCGTATTCTCCCGGTAGAAGATAGTATTCTTTGCCAGAGGACCCTCGAGTCGACCCACTTATATAGACGTATCCGTTGTTCAATGATTCACAGTGAACGGGCACGGCGCGTAAGCTATTAATGGGAATTACTACTCTGTTCTGCGAAATCAAATGAACCTTTTAATGTTAGATTTTTTAAAATATAATCTCATCTGGAGTTTTGGTAATCACTATCTCCGGTTTCTCAGAGAACGAATGACCCAGTAACAATGCATAGCTCAAAACGTAATCTTGTACCACATATATGTCGATGACTTCTTTGATATCCTGCACTTCTACGGCGGCTATTATCAATCCCAGTGGTCGAACAAGATTTGCACCAATACCCCTTAAGGTAGGCAACTCCGCGTTTTTCATTATATTCACATCTAGTAACTTAGCATCAGTTTCTCTCATAAGAGAACATTGGCTACCCAAATCCAAATGACATTGAAATGTTTTATTGTTAACTTTCACATCCATTACATATTTATCATTAGTTTTACCGGTTACACTAAGTTTAGAAACCTGTTTTTCGTTTATGTTGGCGAAGGTGTTACTAGAAACTTCCTTGTTTTTGTTTCTATAACAGTTTGACAACTGGTGACCAATCCTATCGCAATTCGTACATTTAATCAATGGTTTCTCGCATTTAAAACTTGGGTGGCCTATCATGTTGCAATTAAAACACCGTATGTTACAGTTATTTCCAGCAAACTTCGAAAAAAATGGCTTGTTAACGTTAACATTTTTATGTAATCTATTCTTCCTTAAATAATCTCTACTGTCCCTAGAGTTTCCGACCCTAACAGACCTAAAATACTTAAGGACTTGTTCTGGTTCAGAAAATTGTGCTGCCTGTGCTCCAATTTTTACAGCACAGTCATCAACGCCATGAAGTAGATAATCTACTGCTTGCCTACCGCTTATTTTGCAACGATTTAACGTATTAATTTTACGAGTAGAGTAATAATAATGTTCCAACGACTCGCCATACCTAACCCGCTTATTCAGCATTTCTGTAAGGCGTTCGGCATAATCTTCGCGACACGGAAACTATTCGATAAGCTTTTTCTTCCATTCCGTCTAATTATACAACAAAGTTGAAAGACCTTTCTACCATGACCTAGCAACACCGCATAATTTCGGAAGTGAATAGTGAATTATTTCCTTTTCGTCCCAACCTAGATCTCTGCACATTCTTCTACTTTATTAATCCACGTGAGTATGGTCTGTTACTTTGTCATGGGATCAAAGTCTAGAACGTCGTTATTAATGTAAGATAGTCTGAGTTTATCCGAACTCCTTACGTCTTTAATTATGGAAAGGAACTTGTCCAGTATGACGTCTGTACTATTTTTAAGGTTTTTACCACGATTAGATTTTGAATGAGCCTTGACGGACTTACCCGAAGATTCTGATGATGTACTGGGACACCTACGTCTACGCCTTGATATCCTTTAATTAGATAGTCTTCTCCGCCCCTTTGAATCACCTCTTCTTAAACTTTAATTGTCATCAGACTCTTCCAATGAACACGTTCTATCCCTGGTACGTTTCCGTAAACTTAAATTATCTCGCGACTGTCCCGGTGTTTCTTCCATATAATCCAAAGTTCTATACTGGTGCCCTTGACCTCGGGCGTTATCTTCTATAAGCCCTTGACCTCGGGCGTTATCTTCTATAAGCCCTTGACCCCGGGCATCATAGTTTATCGACCCGTGACCATGGGTGTTTTCACTATCTAGGCCTTGTCCTCGACCATTATCTACGATAAACCCTTGACCTCGGGAATCATCTGTCCATAGCCCTTGACCTCGGGCGTCATCATTAGGCCCTTTACCTCGGGCATCAATATTAGGCCCTTGACCTCGGGCATCAATATTAGGCCCTTGACCTCGGGCATCAATATTAGGCCCTTGACCTCGGGCATCAATATTAGGCCCTTGACCTCGGGCATCAATATTAGGCCCTTGACCTCGGGCATCAATATTAGGCCCTTGACCTCGGGCATCAATATTAGGCCCTTGACCTCGGGAATCATTGATTAGAGACCCTTGACCTCGGGTTTTATCAATAAGCCCTTGACCTTGGGCAACGTTTTCATCCATGTCTCTGGAACTTCAAAATCAAAGCTTAGTAATGTGAGTGTAATTCCTTACTATACTTCTCTTCATTGATTAAGTGGATAAAAGGAAAGATTATTTGATATAGATAAAAACAGAAAATAAAAATATTTAATTGTGATCTCTTCATGCGAAATCCTAATATAATATATGTTTCGCTCTATCCATTCTTTAATTTATCGTTGGGACATGGCATTCCCCTTTCATCCTCCCATATAATCTTTGTTTTTCAATTAAAGAACAATAAAAGAAAATATACAAAATCAAATCAAATCAAATCGTTTATTGCTTCTATAATGTACAGTACATTAGCAGTTACAGTGACCATTATAGACCCTGTCGGGCGTTGCAATATACAAGAAATATACAATAAAATAATTGAATGGACTTATAACTATGTAACATCATTATATTATATTTGGCTATTTTGAAAATAAAATTTTATTTAATACTTAGTAATTTACTGGTTAGTAATTAACTATCAAAAAATTCAGTGAGCGTGTAAAAGCATTTGGAAATAAGATAATCATGAAGTTTTTTATTGAATGAACATAATTTAACTTCAGATTTTACATCTATGGGTAGTTTATTGAATATTTTAATTGTCATGTAATATGGACTACAATTGAGCATTTTGGTTCTAGATGGGGGTAAATATAACCTATGTTTATGCCTAGTATTTACATTATGTGTTTCTTTTATCTGGGTGAAGAAGTGTTTATTTTTAAATACGAAGTTACTTATATCTTTTATGTAAATAGAAATTAAGGTTAATAATTTAAATTTAATGAAGTAGGGTCGACAGCTATGTCTGTTATCAATTCTGGCAAGTATCCTAACACATTTTTTTTGTAAAATGAACAATTCATCTGCATTAACACTATTACCCCAAAGGATAATGCCATATTTAAGCCATGAAAAGGCATACGCGTAATATGTGGACAGTGCAGTTTCTAAATTTGTGCTATGATTAATTTGATAAAGCGCATATGTAAATTTAGAGAGCTTGCATTTAATTTTTTCAATATGCAACTTCCAGTTTAAATGTGTATCTACATTAAGTCCAAGCAAGTTATACGAGTCTATCTCTTCTATTAGGGTATTTTGTAATTGAAAATTAATTTTTAGGGGTGGTTTATTATATGAACGAAATTGTAAAATTTTTGTCTTTTTAAGGTTTATTTCTAGATTATGGCTATCAAGCCAATGTGTGACATTATGAAGTGTATCATAGATAAGGGTTTCAGAGCTAATGTTGTCGTTACTTTTTATAAGTATTGACAAGTCATCTGCAAATAATACTGGCAGTGTTGATTCACTATACAAACATTTTGGCAGGTCATTTACATAAATAAGAAATAGCACACAGCCTAAAACGCTGCCCTGTGGGATTGAACTAGTTAGGTGTTTCTCTTCAGAACGAACTTTTATTACTTCATTAGTAATTTGGTTGTAGTGTTCAATTTCTACTATTTGCTTCCGATTATTTAAATAGGATTTGAACCAGTTATGCACTAGCCCACGGATACCCGAATTCATAAGTTTTAAAAGTAGTTTATCATAGGGCACCCTGTCATATGCTTTCGTCATATCAAGTAAAATACCAAAAGTATGTTTTTTATCATTTAAATTTTGTATGGCCATTTGTATGAACTTATATACAGCTAGGGTGGTTGATCTTGATTTTCTGAATCCATTTTGGCTATCATCTAGTATTTCATACTTTTCAAGGAATGAGTAGAGTCTATTACACATTGCTTTTTCGTATACCTTTGAAAAGGTGGGCAATAGTGCTATTGGTCTGTAGTTGTTAGGGTTTTTTTTTATCTTCTTTTTTGTGCAACAGTTTTATTAGTGCTATTTTGAGAGGGTCTGGAAATATGCCATGTTGAAAACTTTGGTTTACTAAAAAAGTAAGGGGATAGACAATTTCTTCAGTGCATTGTTTTAAAAGCGCCGGTGGTATATCATCTACACCACAGCTATATTTAGTTTTTAATTTTTTTATACTATTTTGGATTTCCCTTTCATCAACTGAGGTTAGATACATGGAGCATGTCGCTTTCAATTCGACAGAATTTTTATATTGTTTCTGATTTTTATTAATATTATTAGTTTTACCAATTGCTGCAAAATGTTCATTAAATAGGTTAGAAATTTGTATAGGACACGTTATTGTGTTATTATTAATATTTAACATCATGCTTTTGCGATTTTTTGTTTTTATTCTACCCAATTTATTATTAATTATGTTCCACATGGTCTTTATTTTATTACTAGAATTTTTCAGGATGGAATTACAGCGGAGCTTCTGAAAGCAGGTGGAAGACCGGTACTTGAAGTCCTTCAGAAGCTCTTTAATTCTGTCCTCCATGGTGGCATTACACCGGAGGCGTGGAGCAGAAGTGCGGTGGTCTTGTTCTTCAAGAAAGGTGACAACGCTCTCTTGAAGAACTACAGACCGATTTCCCTTCTGAGCCGCGTCTACGTGCTGTTTTCGAGAGTCATTACGAATCGTCTCGCGCGCAGACTTGACGACTTCCAGCCTCCCGAACAAGCCGGTTTCCGAAAGGGCTTTAGCACCATAGACCTGATACATACCCTTCGGCAAGTTGTACAGAAGTCCGAAGAGTACAATTTGCCACTATGTCTGGCGTATGTGGACTATGAGAAAGCCTTTGATTCCGTCGAAATTTGGGCGGTGCTGCAGTCCCTTCAGCGGTGCCAAGTTGACTGTCGGTATATCGAAGTGTTGAAGTGCTTGTACAGTAGGGCTACGATGGCTATCCGAGTACAGAACCAGAATACGAAACCTATCCAATTGCAGAGAGGTGTAAGACAGGGTGACGTCATATCCCCGAAACTCTTCACCGCTGCATTGGAAGACGTTTTCAAGCTTTTGGACTGGAAAGGATACGGTATCAACATCAATGGCGAGTACATCACTCACCTTCGATTTGCCGACGATATAGTCCTTATGGCAGAATCGCTGGAGGACCTAAGCACTATGCTCAATGACCTCAATAGTGTTTCCCAACGGATAGGTCTTAAGATGAACATGGACAAAACAAAGATCATGTTTAATGTCCATGTCACACCTATGCCGGTAGTTGTTGGGAGCACTAAGCTCGAAGTTGTTGACGAGTATGTTTACCTGGGACAAATAGTCCGACTAGGTAAGTCCAACTTCGACCGAGAGGTCAATCGACGGATTCAACTCGGCTGGGCAGCGTTCGGGAAGCTACGACACATCTTCTCGTCAGACATACCTCAAAACCTTAAAACGAAATTGTACAACCAGTGCGTGTTGCCAGTGATGACTTACGGAACTGAGACGTGGTCCTTCACTGCTGGCCGTATGAGGAAGCTCAAGGTCGCTCAGCGAGCTATGGAGAGGGCTATGCTCGGAGTTTCTCTGCGTGATAAACTTAGGAATGAGGATATCCGCAGTAGAACCAGAGTGACCGACATAGCCCAACGGATTAGTAAGCTGAAGTGGCAGTGGGCCGGCCATATAGCTCGAAGAACCGACAACCGATGGGGAAGAAAGGTTCTCGAGTGGCAGCCTCGTACCGGTAGGCGAAGTGTAGGGCGTCCCCTCACGAGATGGAGTGACGACCTGGTAAGACATGCAGGAAGTCGATGGATGCAGGTGGCTCAGGACCGTGCTTTGTGGCATTCTTTGGGGGAGGCCTATGTTCAGCAGTGGACTTGTGAAGGGCTGTAATGATGATGATGAAAATGATGAGAATTTTTCATTTGTTTAATGTATTGTAGTTTTTTTGATAATTTGATACTACGTTTAAGAATTTTTGTGTATTTTTTATAGTAATTAAGAAAAACTGGACTTTTTGTTTCATTAAGGATTATTCTTAAAAGTCTTTTATGCTTACAAGATTTTTTTAATCCAGATGTCAACCAGCCTTTATATTTTTGTTCTTTTATTTTTACTTTCATCATAGGTATATGTTCGTTTAAACTATTTGATATTATTTTAAGAAAAATATTGTAGTTCTCATTTACAGTTTGGCTCTCTTTTAGAATATTATTCCAATCGACGTTATATAATGAGTTTTTGAATGAATTAATGTTTTGTTTTGTAAAACACCTTTTTCTTGTAAATAACACTTGCTTTTTGCTTATCGCCGTCTCTAAATTTAACTCTAGATTTGTTGCTTTATGATCTGATAAACCATAATCAATAACATAGCAATTTTTTACTAAAGATATATAGTTTGTAAAGATTAGATCAATACAGGTGGCTGTTTTATTTGTGACTCGGGTGGGTTCTTTTATAAGTTGAGCTAAATTATGAGAACGCATTAAATTTAAAAGTTCCTGAGAATCACTATTGTTTTCGTTAACATTTATATTAAAAAAAGGCTAATGGCAAAGGAAGAGGAACTAATAAAAACCAATGTTTTATAATGCGTCCAAAAAGAAAAACATTAATTGCAGGAAACAATGCACCAACTTTAAATGCGTTCGATTTGGCTTATCATCGTCGTCAGAAGCACTTAAAAGTTTATTGTATAATAAGAGCCTCTCCGCTACAGGAAAGACATGCTTCAATCGTCACGCTTGAAAATCAATGGTAATAAGAGGATTTCTTACGTTACATACCAGCACATTCTATAATTACTAAGTAATATATTTCTCGAGTAATACAAAAAGAATCACAAAGTAGGCATTTAAATGTAAGTAGTAATAGTATGTTATAGTGATGTTTTTCTTATTTTACGAAAGTTGTATTAAATTTCACAAAAATTATATTAGCTTAATTATACATGGATTTTAATTAATTATATTTATAGTGATTCGAAGTTTTGAATAAAATCAATAGCTTGAGATTAATTAAACACCGGAAATGGCAATTTATATTATTTAGAATAAGGTAATCCCCAACATAATCTTAAAAAAAGAAAACAACACAATATTAATAGTCTATGTATATAAATCTAATATAAAAATTTAAACAAAGAAACAATAGCTTTAAAATCAAATTTATTTTCAGGTTGCCCTCCGACGTATCCAGGGGCGATTGATAAGGTTACTTCTGACCGTTATGCCCTTTCGGAGCTCTGGATTTTGTGCGGCCCTAGAACTTACAGCAGAATCCTGGCAGGGAAAAGTCAATCGTTGCGATTCATGCTCACACAAAGGTACCTTGTACAATATACAATAGAAGCCACCATGTGAGGCTCATAATGTAACACTATGCACTAGGAGAAATCTGAAACGTGGCATTTTTGTATATTATGTACCTGTAGTGTTTGGATTTTTGAATAAACAACACTTACTTCTTAACTTCACAACGTTTATTTTGTCACACACAATGTTTTATACTGTTCATAATTTACAAGGCCCACAAACACAAGCAAGTATTATAAATTAAGGCGTGAGATAGTAACACAGCACAGAAGTATACAGTAAGCAAGTTAAAAGAATAGGAAGAAGAAAATTATCGTAAACAGTACAGCGTAATATAATTTTTACAAGCGCAAGCGACACGGATTCACTGCGGAAGTCTGCGGTCAACTGAAGGACGGCCGACGACGTACGCGCAAGATCCTTTGTTCTAATTATTTACCTGGAGCGTTAGAAGACATTTATACGATACGATTTTTACGTCGTTGGCCTTCCGACATATCAACAACTAGTAAGCGTTTTATATAACATTGTGCACGTATTATATTACATTTATTTATATACTACATACTGTTTATTTATACATTTTAATTTATACATATACTTATTATTTTATATATAATTTGCTAATTACATGTTTGTGTTTTTATTTATAAAATTAATATTTAATACAAAACTAAACAAAATTTATTTTTACAGCTAATATCGCAGTCCACCTCACCACCCAGAGACCGTCCTACGGGCGATAATATTCCGGGGCCAGTACTACTCGCCCAAAACGCGTTTGTTTAATATTTGTATCTCCTTCAGGTAATGAAACTGCTGGCGGAGCGGGATTACTATCAACGAGTAGATAAGCTGGTTTTAATCTATCTATTGACACTGTTGTTGCTTCGCCGTTTAAAAGAATTTTAAAAACCTTATCATTTCTGTCAAGCACTTTGTGTGGTCCTGAATAGGCGGGTTGAAGTGATCCTCTAACAGCGTCTTCTCTTATGTAGACGTGGGTTGTTGTGGCGAGATCTTCAAAAACGAAGGTTGTCTTTTTACAATGACGAGAAGCTGGCTGTGGTTGAATGTTTCGGACAATTGAACGTAATCGAGTGGTGAAATCAGTAACATCAGTGTTTATATGTGGAGAAGGATGTAATAACTCTCCAGGCAGTCTAAGTGGCTCACCATATACTATTTCGGCCGGAGAAGTTTTTAAGTCTTCCTTAATAGCACTACGTATGCCTAGTAACACTAGAGGAAGAGCTTCTGTCCAGTTTGTATTAGCGTGGCAGGTTATTGCTGCCTTAAGCTGTCTATGAAACCTCTCGATCATTCCGTTACAGGCTGGATGGTATGCTGTAGTTGGTTTGTGTTGGAATCCTACAATTCTCGAAAGGGCCTTAAAAAGTTCCGACTCAAATTGACGTCCTCTGTCCGTAACCACTTCGCTAGGGCAACCAAAGCGTGCTATCCATCCGGATATCAGGGCTTTGGCGACTGTCTCAGTGGTTATATTTTTGATAGGTATGGCTTCAGGCCATCTACTAAATCGATCTATAACAGTGAGGCAGTACTTGTATTCATTTGATACAGGTAGTGGTCCAACAAGATCTATATGTATGCACGCAAATCTCTTACGTGGTAGCTTAAACGTACCAAGTGGCGATGATACATGTCGAGTTACTTTTGTCTGCTGACATGGGTGGCAGGTTTTGGTCCACTGTCGGCAATCTTTTCTCATTCCAGGCCAGACGTAGCGCTGCGCAATTAATTTTACGGTTGCGTTAGTGCCAGTGTGGCTTAAGGAGTGAAGATTTTCAAAAACCTGACGCCTAAAGGGTTTAGTAACGAAAGGCCTGAGTGAGTCCTTATTGTCATCACAGTATAATTGCGTCTGTGTTCCAGGTATGGTAACTTGACGCAGGCGTAGTGATGTTGTATTCTGTAAAATTTCTTTTAACTCAGGGTCGTCGATTTGTGATTTAGCCAGGGCCACTAAGTCGACGGGTTATGTTAATTCTTGGATTCTGGACAGTGCATCCGCCACGACGTTATCTTTACCTGATACATGCTGAATGTCCGTGGTAAATTGCGATATAAAGTCCAGATGTCGGAATTGCCGTGGAGAGCATTTGTCTTTCCGTGTGTTAAAAGCGAAGCAAAGAGGCTTATGATCTGTGTACACTGTGAAGTGTCTGGCTTCAAGCATATGTCGGAAATATCGGATACCTTCGTAGATTGCAAGCAGTTCCCTATCATACGGAGAATATTTGTTTTGCGTTGGACTTAGTTTCCGAGAGAAGAAACCCAATGGCTGCGAACAATTGTGCTTCCGTTGTTGCAGAACTGCGCCTATGGCGGTATCCGATGCATCAGTTACTAATGCGAGTCTTGCATCTGAGTCTGGATGTGCCAGAAGAGCAGCTGTGCATAAGCTTCTTTTGCAGTTTTCAAAAGCTGTCTTTGTATCGCCAGAAATGTTTACTGGATGAGAACCTTTCACTCGTCCTGTCAATAGGGCATGAAGTGGTGCTTGAATTTTTGCCGCACCGTGGATGAATTTGCGATAGAAGTTCAGTATCCATAAAAATCGACGAAGTTCTCTCACCGTCTTTGGTATCGGGTAATCTTGGACGGCTTGTACTTTGGTTTCGAGTGGCATTAATCCTTCTGCCGATACCTTGTATCCGAGAAATACTACCTCCTTTGCTCCAAAGACACACTTAGATGTATTTATGACAGTTCCGTATTCTTTGAGTCTGTCGAATAACTGACGAAGATGTTCTTTGTGTGATTTTTCGTCTTTGGAGAAATTGAGAAAGTCGTCCAAATAGGCAAAGCAAAAATCCATACCTCTAGTCAGTTCATCGACGAATCTCTGAAACGTTTGGCCTGCGTTTCTAAGGCCGTACGTCATGTACCGGAACTCGTAGAGGCCAAAAGGTGTTGTGATTGCCGTCTTTGGTATATCCTCTTCACTAACCGGAATTTGGTTGTACGCTTTCACCAAGTCTATTGTTGAAAATATTGTACAACCAGATATGTTATGGGTAAAGTCGTGGATATTTCGGATGGGATAGCCGTCTGGGATTGTGCGGGCGTTGAGCATCCGGTAGTCGCCACATGGACGCCATCCATTTTCCTTTTTCGGTGCGAGGTGCAATGGAGACGACCAAGCGCTTTCAGATGGGCGTGCTATTCCGTTTTTAATCATTAATTCAAACTCTTGTTTTGCTACCTTGAGTTTGTCTGGCGCTAATCGGCGTGGTGTGGAACTGATTGGTGGGCCTGGCGTAGTCCTAATATGATGGACAGTGCTGTGGGGTGCTACACATTGAATTACAGCTGGACGAGTTATTTCTGGATAGCTACGGAGCAAGTCGTGGTAACGCGAATCGCCGATCATTGACTTAATTGAAGAGATAGTGTTCGACGATGTTACTGGCGAAGCTATTGTTGAGAATGATGTGGTGGTGTCTATAAGGCGTTGGTTTCGACAGGCAACCATAAGACCATAAAAAGACAGGAAGTCGACGCCGATGATAGCCTTCGTGACATTAGCCACGATGAAACGCCAAGAGTAATCACGACGTAAACCGAGATTTAGCTCCAGATGTACGTATCCGTAAGTTGTGATAAGTGAACCGTTAGCGGCATAGAGTTTATAATTGGTACTAGGTCGACGTTCACGGAGCGATGTGTATGGGAAGACGCAGAGGTCACTGCCAGTATCGACAAGAAACTGTATCTTTGTTCTTCGGTCCGAAACGAATAGGCGACCAGTTGTACTGAGGCAGTCGTGTGTCGCCATTATCGACCGCCTTGGCAGTTTTTCGGCTTGAAGTCGCAGGGCTTAATGCATCTGTCTGCCTTGTTTCCAAATTTGTGGTGATAAAGGCATGTGGGAAATTTCCTGTAATCAGATCTGGAGCGGCTGGTCTTACGTGCTCGTCTGGTGTTGCGAGTCAAAGATCTTGGCCTGTGTACGCGCGTGGAGAGGGCTTGAACTTGCTTTGTAAGTTCGCAAATTTGATTAGCCATCGTCTGTAAGACTGAACTTTGCGTGCACTCTGCAGCGGCGACTTGAGGTGTTGAAGGCACAATGTCGTGGACGCGGTCAGCTAAGTCTGCTAAAGCCTGCAAATCCGAGGTTGTCTGTGATCCTATCATTGTCTGTATGCTATGTGGTAAACGGCTGCACCAGATGGTTTTAAGGAAATCATCAGGTACGCTAGGTCCAGCGAGATGCTGTAGATGGCGTAGAAACTGTGATGGTCGACGATCACCCAGCTCTTCATGCATAAGTAGCTGCTTCACCTCCTTTTCACGTGTCGCAGAGAGTCGTTTTATAAGCTCGGTCTTCAGCTTTTCATATTTGTCTTTGTCAGGTGGTGAAACAATTATGTCTTTAACTTCTGCTGCGTATCTCTGCTCTAGGGTTGACGTAATATAATAAAATTTTGTTGCGTCGTCCTTTATTCCAGATCACAGAAAGTTGCCTTCCAACTGAGCAAACCATACTGCTGGCTCTTCCGGCCAAAAAGGTGGTGGTCGGACGCCGATACGGCAAATGTCGGAAGGTGTAAATGTCTTTTTTCCTTCGTCCGAATCGTTATCTTTGTGGGCGTTTCTGCTCGTAGAACTGTGTAACATTTTAATTATTAGTCACCAGTGTAGTGTTTGGATTTTTGAATAAACAACACTTCTTAACTCCACAACGTTTATTTTGTCACATACAATGTTTTATACTGTTTATAATTTACAAGGCCCACAAACACAAGCAAGTATTATATATTAAGGCGTGAGATAGTAACACAGCACAGAAGTATACAGTAAGTAAGTTAATAGAATAGGAAGAAGAAAATTAGCGTAAACAGTACAGCGTAATATAATTTTTACAAGCGCAAGCGACACGGATTCACTGCGGAAGTCTGCGGTCAACTGAAGGACGGCCGACGACGTACGCGCAAGATCCTTTGTTCTAATTATTTACCTGGAGCGTTAGAAGACATTTATACGATACGATTTTTACGTCGTTGGCCTTCCGACATATCAACAACTAGTAAGCGTTTTATATAACATTGTGCACGTATTATATTACATTTATTTATATACTACATACTGTTTATTTATACATTTTAATTTATACATATACTTATTATTTTATATATAATTTGCTAATTACATGTTTGTGTTTTTATTTATAAAATTAATATTTAATACAAAACTAAACAAAATTTATTTTTACAGCTAATATCGCAGTCCACCACATACCTATCTATTTTTTATTATGTAAAGTCCCTGCCATGAACCCATATCGTCTCATTCGTGCTGAGGCCTTCCATGTGTGCCTTCAAAGGGTGTTTAGGCCTTATAAAAGCATCATGTGAAGCTCCCCATACCTTGCGTCCACACTGATTATATCCATGTCAGCATTGCTTATCTAAACTATTAATTCAAATATATACATAATAATTCAGTGTTTAAATGATTTATGTATCAATATAATTAAATTTATTGAATTTGTGGTTTTATTACAATATTTCTTACCAATTGCACATTTAAAGAATGATAGGTTCTATTTTTTACAGTAATGTATCCCTTCATTTTGTGAAGGACGAACCATTGCCACATGTGTACAATCAATGCAGCCTAAATCTACAGGCATTTCAAATTTGTTGTAAAATCTACAAAGCCATATTTAATCCCTAAATTATAAATCTTTGCTGAGCTTGCTGCATGATATAATGATGTGCAATATTAAATATATAGATACCAGTGAACATATTATTAAAGTTTAATGGTTCTAATAGTAGAAGTTGTTGTTATAATCAATTAAAATTATGTATTAAATTTGTACTTGCATGTACATCATGCAGCTCTTGCGAATCTTATATTATTGTTCTCAATGGGAACATGGCATAGAAACAACGTACAATTAATGCCTAAAAATTATTTTAAAAACTGTTAAAAAAATTATAAAAAATATTCAGTATGAATTTTTGCTAAAAGTGTATTAAATATCACTTTTAGTAATGTTTTACTAGTAATGAATGATTTAATTAATACTCAACCTTGGATTCGATCGACAAATCAGTAAACTTAGCAGGCTTTGTCATACAAGGTCTTAAATCATCACAAAGTTCCAACACTAAGTTTTGCTTAAACGATATCTTTTTACAAATTCACCGTCACCGATCGATTTAGCTGCGTAATATTGTTCTTTCAATTTTGTCCTCAAAAATTTTGCTTTCATTGTACTCCTTGAGGAACTCAAAAGTTTCGTAATCATCAGACACTGAAATTAATGCACAAAAAACAATTAGAGAACTTTAATATGTACCTAGTCAGGTCATAAATTCTGTCACATGTTTAATATAAAATAATTGAAACAAGTTTATTCCTTATGTAACCATTTATATACCAAAATGAACTTAACAAAACATAGATTCTTATGACACTAAAGTTTATTCAAAATGACCTCCGTGATTTTGAATACAGGCCTTCAATCTGCGCGGCCAGTCGTCTATCGCAGCACGAACGAGGTACATGTCAATATCGGCGACTGCCTTAATCAAGGATGTCTTGAGTGACTCCAAATTGGGATGAGGCTTTGAGCACGCCTTTTCCTCCAAGTGTTGCCATATCTTGTAATCTAACGGATTCAAATCTGGACTGGAGGAGGGCCAGTGTTCGTGCCGGATGAAGTCGATTTCACGCGCCGATCTTGTCTTGTCTATGTGCTGGCGCCGAATCTTGTTGGAATACCCAGTGCCTGTTATTGAACATGGTATGAGAAACAGGTTCCGCAATGTTCGTCAGGACTGTATTTTGATACACAACTGCATTCGTTTTTACACCTTTCTCACAAAAATGTACCTCTGTTAAGCCCCAATAAGAAACTCCCAACCATACCATGAGCGAGGATGGAAAATGACCTCGTCGGACACGCGGAATACGGTTGCTCGCTTCTTCACTACTGTGTGCGTACACCTCATCATTTTGTTTGTTGTAGCTCTCTTCTACGGTAAAAATTTTTTCATCCGAAAAAAGAATTTCCCGATATTTGTTTCCCGCGTACCGCTTCAACAAAGCGCGGCATCTCTTCAGTCTCAGGTCCATTAGACGAGCATTCAAACGATGTCCTGTTTTTCTTCGATATGCCCGAAGCTCTAAGTCTTCATTTAACACCCTTTTCACCGTGGTTCTGCTTAACCCCATCTGAAGGGCCAACAGTTTCTGCTTACGTTTGGGATTTCTTTGAATTCGCGCCTTCACAGCTTTTATCACTGCTGGAGTCATAACAGACCGAGGGCGACCACTTCTTGACCTGTCATCTACACTAGAGTCTTCATTGTATCGTTTGATGGTACGATAAACGAATCTTTTGGTTATATTCAAATTTTTCAGTATGTCAAAAATTTGAAGTGGCGCTTAACCGCAACGATGCAACGCAATAACTGCAACACGGTCTTCTTTAAGCGTCCACTCCATATTTAAAAATGAGTAAAATTCTAAAAAGTATACAGTTTTATTTTCATGAACAATTCGAAATTCGAATTCAATAAACTTTTTGTGGCCCGCATTCTAAAAGAAAAGTTTTTACTGCGTGACAATACTTATGACCTGACTAGGTATATTATGTAAATAATATAACTATTTTAAAGCAAGAAACCCAATTAAGCATGTATAACTTGAAGAAACACTTTTAATACTTACTATTACACTATTAGAATATTAAACGATTCAAAAAAGCTCCCACCAAGCAACTTTTATTGAAGTGTTTAAAATGACAGATATACTGTTCAATAAACGGGTCACAACTCTGTTACAAACGTCAAAAGTGAGTTCATAGTACCGATTTAAAACGTTGAGCTAGTTTGCCGGCCACTGAAATGGTCGTTACTTCATCACAGGTTGGCCTGCAATAAGACGCGTTCGTAGTACGACAAAGCAAGGCAGTTCAGTTTACGGTCTTAAACTGACCGGCAATAAGAGTTGCGTGTAGTCCCCCTGCATCTATTTTTGGGCCTGGTAGTCTTATCCTAATGTTTTAGGGTCGAGTTCGCGTTGCTGATGGAACATCTTAGTGCCAAATAGTCCGTTCGGCGACTTACAGACTCGACCGCGTCTTCCGGTTGCTAGTTGCGATAGTAGAACATCATCTGATTCTGATGTTTCGTCAGATTCACTCAACCATTCCTCTTCATATTCACGCAGTTCTGACTCTCGAACTAGGGCCTACAAGTCTGGTTCTGGGTGAACTTCATCATCTTCACTTTCAATTATTCTGAGTCTCAATTATTACGGAGGGGCAGACTGAAATGATCGGGAATAGAATATTTCGGATTGAGTTAATATAAAACCTTTTTTAGAATTTGAATACTGACCTCTTCGAATCTTAAT